CACCTGCACTAAAGTGTCAGGTTATGAGCCCAAGGCACAATATTGAAGTCAACATGAAAAAAATAACAGACTTACTCGACAAACATAACTATTTTCATTGGTCGTTCAACATGGAAATGGAGCTTGCACGGAAGATGCTACGGGACACGTGATGGAAATGGAGTCGGAAGCTAAGATGACGCTGGAATGTCTTGTGAATGACATGAAAGCATTCGCCATTATTGCACAAGGGATCCAGTCAGAACACCAATCAAAAATCCGTTCTGCCCGTACTGCTCGTGAAGCATGGGGGATTCTTAAAGATTATTACAATCGTTCAAATATTCACAATCGAGTGACTTCGACAAGCGTTTACATGAGTTCACTATGAAAGATGGAGCAAGCATGGCTTCTCATCTCGATAATTTCAACAAACTGGTAGTTGCGATGGAGGGTGTCGGAAATGGTATGAGCACATATAGGCAGCTAGTGATCTTGCTCGGTAGTCTGCCGAGCAGTTATGCGATGATTGTCTCTATCATTGAGAACTCTAAGGAAATTCCACTTGACGAAGTGAAGGAAAAGCTCTTGAAAGAGCACGAAAAGGTCGAAAATGCAGAAAAATCGGATGAAAACGCATTCAAGGTGCGACTTCGTGGTCATGGTGGTCGAAAGAAGTAACAAGGTGGCATTTGTCGCCAAGATCAGCATATTCGACGAGACATGAGACAAGGTAACCGTGGACAACCACTGATCAGCTTGAGGTTTCACCGGGCGTTGCCATGGCTGCAACAAGATTGGTCATGAGAAGGTGGGCTGTCCATCAAGTGCACGCAGTAGTGAGGTACAGTCTATGGCAAATATGGATGATAAATCAGATTGGTTGCTTGATAGTGGTGCATCGTCGCCCATTATCCCTGACCGGGAGGCTTTCCATACTTACAAAGAGTTGAAAAAGGCATTGGTGTTACAATTGCTGATGGTGAATCACTTCATGCGATTGGTATGAGTGATTATCACATGCAATGCCCTCAAGGTCGCGTAGTGAGATTAGTAAACGCTCTCCACATTCCTGGATTAGATCGTCGGCTACTCTCAGTTGCAAAAACTTACCCCAAAGGGTCTTACAGTGAGTTTTAGCATTAAAGTGTGTACTATCTCTCGAGGAGAAGAATCGATTGCGACCGTACCACAAGCAAACAATGAATATCGTGTGAAGAAACAAGCACAGACTGTGAGTGGGATTTTTCATCAAGAATAACCAGGTTGAAAACAATTAGACAGTTGTGTACAGTAAAAAAAATTGGAGTCCGAACATGTCAGTGTCGTCTAGTGGTTAAGACGCGAGCTTCACAAGCTTAAAGATGGTGGCAAAATTACTGTGCGATTATCTGTCATTAACATCGTCGCTTCTGTAGATATCTTCTCAGAATAAACATCTTTGCCTCCCTTTTTCCTGTCTTCTTCGTCGACGCCGTTCAACGTAAGCAGCGGGCTTTCTTCGACTTGTCGAGAGCGATGGTTGACGCAGCTCTCATCAATACGAAAAAGAATTGCCAGGCCGACATCAAGCCTTGACGGCTGAATAATTTTTTTGCCTCGTACTATAAAGCTATCCGTCGTTAGGTACTCGCCAGTAGGGGCTGTATTTGAGACCTGGTCTGCGTGTACCTAGTATGCACCAGCAATGACCTGATTTGACCAAGCGCTACTGCGTCATACGCTCCATGCGAGATTAGTACACACGAATCATGACAATATGAAACGTGTAGTTGATATGAGTGATGGTTTCCCTGGAGGACCTAGCGTGATCAAGATCTATATGGAAGATGCATGCTTGGAAAGAATACTGTCACACCATTCCCAAAGCAAACAAACCGTGGTATGATAACTACCACACACGAGTTTTACAACTGGTTAACACAGATCTCGCGGGACCCATGAAAGTGCCGTCTACCGGTGGAGCAAAGTATGTGCTACTCTTCACCGATGACTACTCGCACAACATATGTGAATACTTCTTGAAGAGTAAGACGGAAGTGTCAAATCATTTTCGTGAGTACAAAGCAAAGATGGAAGGGCAACTAGGTGCTCGAATCAAAATCATTCGGTCAGACAATGGGACTGAAATCGTCAACAAGAAGTTTTGCAAGGTTTGTGTTGATGGTGGGATGATCCACCAACGCTCTGCACCATATAGCTCTCAACAAAAAGGGCTTGCAGAACGAACAAACCGAACCGTGATGGAGATGGCAAGAAGCATTATGCTGTACCAGGCTATTGAAACTCGATGGTGGGCTGATGCAGTCAATACTGCTGTGTACCTGTTGAATCGGATGACCAGCACTGTAACACTGATATTACACCATACGAGCTTTGTTTTGGCTCTCGTCCAAATCTCGATCATATTCGTGTCTTTAATTTTCGGGGGTACGCACATATTGACAAGTCTCAACAAACAAAACTCGACGCGACATCATACTCACTGCATGTTGCTGGGGTCCATGGAATATGGCAAAAGTTACCGTGTGTTAAATCTCGATACTGGAAAAGTAAAACAAGCCGTTCAGTTGCTCTAGATGAACGCGGAGTATCCAGCATCTATCATGTGGAAAATACGGATACGCCTCATGAGTATCTTTATATTCCAATTGATGGAGATGAAATTATGGCACCTTGTGTTTCACCGCCAACACAAAGCGATGATGTGATCATGGATGACGTCTTAGTTGATAACGACGAGGGAATGCCCTTGGCGGTTGATACCCGTGTTTCTACATCAAGCATTCAGCATGCGAGTCCACCACAAACTGAAATCACACATGACAACCACTTACTCAGTGGGAGGGATGCAATTGTATTTCATCCTTTAATCCATCGTCGCCAACT